ACAAAATACATTCACATGAAACCCTACAAAAAAGGCAGGTTAAATCTTAACTGAATTTAGCAAAGTTGTCGCTCTTGGATAAAAACTGTTTTTAAATCTATTTGTCCTTGTTTTAATAGATCTATATCATCTTCCTGGTGGCAGTAGTTCAAACAAATAGTGTCCAGGGTGGGAGGTGTCCTTTATAATATTTTATGCTTTTTTAAGACAGTGGGTCCTGTAGAGTTCCCACAAGGTGGGGAGGGGACACCCAACAATCTTCTGTGCTGCATTAATCACCCTTCATTGCTTCAAAATGTAATGAATTAAAAGGAAGACCAAAACTTGTTTCCTAATTATGAGCTATGTCAGGACGGGCATCATTCTTGAAACACACATGTCTGTTCAAGGGGCTGCACTGCTGATCACAACCTTCTGTTGGCACTTGTCCTCTGCTGACAACTTCTGCCACCACAACAGATAGCATACAGCATTGCTGCTGGGGAAAGTGGCATACACTAGAAGTTGCATTCTGTTGGACATTACAAAAACATGGCTGTTTTTGTGGTGATACATCACAGGGGCTGCAAAAATGGCTGGGAAGGGAGTTCTGTCTGTAGACATGTGTTGCCCATCCCTGAGATAAGACATTACATTGGTACTCAAAATGCAGTTAATTACAGGGCTGAGGGTGAGGATTTGTAGTATGTACCCAGAGCACATGGAGTTAACAAGTATCAAGTAATATAATTACTTGTAACTTGATACTTTTTAAAATGAGCATACAAGGGAATTATATTTTTTTAAAAAATAACGAATAGGGACATTGTTACTTTATTTTTGTAATAAGTAACATTTTTAATTACTTTCCAAAGTAGTTGGAGTAAAGGGGAATTTCTGGGGAATTTGAGGAGCATTTTAAAAGGACTTTTCCAAGGTGTAAGCTATTCTTCTATCAGTTCCAGGTCCCTCTGAAAAGGTTTTAAAAAGTAACAAACCGTGGAATATGTAACATGATGAGTTATTTGTTCAACTCTGTAAAATGAGTAACAACTGCTTATTTTTAAAACATTGTAATGAGTAATGAGAATGAACTGTTTTTAGAGAACAAGGTTGCAAACCTTGTCTGTGCCATGAAAGCCACATCTTTTGGTATAGTGAAACCATCTAGCATCTCATGCATAACTATGAAAGGAATTTCTGAATCCTCCCTCTTGAATCATATGCATTTCAAAATTAACAACCAGATACAGAAATGTGCAGTATTCTCACTAAGCTTATTTATCTTATTAGAGCTGAAGAAAAGAATATTCTCCAAATTGCCTGAGAAATGGTGATAGCTGGTGAGATAAGCTCTTCTCACATATATTTAACTTTATTCTGTTATAAGATATTACTAGTAAATATCACATGCTCCACTTGGAGCAACACACCCTCTGGGTGAGATAAAAAAGTGAAGGGCTAGCCATCCTAGAAGGAGAAGGAGAAGCATACAAAACCAATCCAGGCCCAGTATGTGGCACATGGTCTAATCCAGCCGATAGGCAAAAATTACCTGCACATCTTTTGTTCAATATAGCAATTGGGTGCTACAAGTCCAAAATTCCTATCCAGCCTTGAAGTGACCAGCTAACCAGCGGCAGACGAAATTGGCAATTACAGGCCCGTCGCCAACGTTTCTTTCCTAAGCAAAGTGGTGGAGAGGGTGGTGGCCGATCAGCTGCAAGCACTCCTGGATGAAACAGACGCCCTGGATCCATTTCAGTCGGGCTTCAGGCCGCGCCATGGTACAGAGACGGCATTGGTCGCCCTGTGTGATGACCTATTGAGGGAGGCCGACAGGAGCAAAGTGTCTTTGCTGGTCCTCCTTGATATCTCAGCGGCCTTCGATACCATTGACCACGGTATCCTCCTGGGGAGGCTCTCCGAGCTGGGAATAGGTGGCCTGGCACTGTCCTGGCTCCGTTCCTTCTTGGAGGACTGTCCTCAGAGAGTTCAGCTTGGGGAGAGTGTCTCGGCCCCGTGGATCCTCAGTTGTGGGGTTCCGCGGGGGTCTATTATCTCCCCAATGTTGTTTAACATCTACATGAGGGCGCTGGGAGAGGTCATCAGGAGGTGTGGGGTCAAGTGTCATCAGTATGCTGATGACACCCAGCTGCTCTATATCTCCTTTTTGCCAACCGCAGATGCCGTTCCGTCCCTTCGGCGCTGCCTGGAGACTGTACTGCAATGGATGCAGGAGAACGGGCTCAGGCTGAACCC